CCACTAAGAAAAGAGAAAGTGGCGTTCGGAATGCGAAAATCAAATATGTAACTTTTTTTTATTAACTTGTATATCGTAACCCTGCTTCCCTTCGCTAACACCTTTACCAACAACTCCATTGCAAACAGCACCCAGTACTTCCAGAGGCTCAAGATGAGTATCACAGGCCTGACCGGGCCAAGCTTAAGATCGAAACCATCTATCTTCTCCTCACAGACAAGGCGATGAGGGACCTCAGAGCGAGAGCTGAGACAAATCTCTGCTGCCTGGGCTCATGGACCAAAAACTCGGCCTTAACGCCAAGCCCAACCAGTAAGCGGCGGCGGCACTGGCACTGGCAGCGGCACCGCTACCCTTGCCCTTCTTCTTCTGAATCTTCTTCGTGTAGAATTTGAACCCCTTCCCTTCTCGAATGTAGCCATCAGGACAGCTGCACTGTCGGGACGAGAACACAGGCAAGCGAGCAAACGTCCGTGGCGAATTGGTCCTCAAGGTGCGAGTCGAACGTCCGCCCTTCCTGCCTTTTTGCCAACTTCCGCATCACATAGCTGCTCTTCTTCGAGGGATCAGCTGACTGAGCGGCGGGCGGTGGCATCTTCACCTTCCTTCACGACGACCGTCTTCTTCTTGCCAGTATCGACTCAGTAATGCGTCGAGTACCATCGCCTGAATGGCGCAGCAGCGATCTGCACGATGGCGCTCTTGACGAGAGTTTGCGTCCGCCGCAGCTCGTTGTTGGAAGCGGTATACAGGTCGTCCAAGATACGAGTTTTACGAGCGATGGCTTCCGAGCCCCACGCGTAGTTACTGGATCAAGTCGCAAAGCATGGAGTTTATAATTACCACGGCCTACTCGCCCTCTACGCACCGTCTTGTTGCTCGACAATGTCGTATTAGCCGGCTGACGACGGAACTCGTACTTTCTCTTCTTGCGCCACGCCTTCTTCTTTCCTCCTGTCCTGCGTCTCTCTGGGGGTTAACTTGGGGCCGAAAGTGGGGGTCCCTGTTAACCGATAGTGCGCCACACCTTCTGGTCTTGTGGGTGGAAGCGTGTGAGATACCTCCACTTCCCCCTTGTGGAAGCGCGTGAGATACCTACACTTTCTCTTCTTGCGCCACACCTTCATCTTTCCTCCTCGCAGGACAGGAGGAAAGAAGAAGGCGTGGCGCTCGAAAAATGCGAGTTTTACAAGCGATGGCAGTACCTACGATTCCGAGCTAACTACACTCCCACACCAACTGGCTGTTATTTTTCATTTTGTAAATGTCACATGTCTTGCACTGGTACTGCCCAGGACCCTGTGTGGACCCCACCAGGGTGGGTGGGTACCCAGGTGCCCCCCCCCCCCCCCCCCCCCTCCCCAGCTGGACCGCCCGGCTGGTAAAACAATGGCACGATCTTTGTCTGTCACCGGTTGTCTTTCTGGCGCTATACCTTCTTTGAATTGTTTTCCCTTTCTTTACGAAGTTTACTTATCTCTTAGACACTTCTGGACCCTCCCTTTTGTCATTCTGTTTTGCATTTTGCTCCTTTGCACCGCCTTCCTTCTCTTGTAGTCCTTGATTTTGAATTTTTGATTCTTTCGTTCGTTCTGTTCTTCCTTCCTTCCTTGATATGGTTTCTTTTTTGTGAGTTCTTGCTCTCATGTCTTCTTCTTCTTCTTCTTCTTCTTCTTCTTCTTCTTCTTCTTCTTCTTCTTCTTCTTCTTCTTCTTCCTCCTCCTCCGCCTCCTCCTCCTCCTCTTCTTTTTCTTCTTCGTCTTCTTCCTCCTTTGCTGTCTTCTGTGCTGTTCTCCTTCTTCCGGCTTTGCTACCTTCTGTTCTTTTCTTCTTCTTCTTCTTATTGTTCTTTTTCTGTGTGATGGTTGCAGAAAGACATCAAGGAGCTTTCATATAGTGCATCATATTTGACTGATGATCTAATGACAGCCACGTCGACAGTTAGGGTTATGAAGTCATGCGGATTGCCTGTACTCGACCACATTACTAAGACTCTGGATACTACATCGACCTGCCTGGCAGCGCTAAGATCATCCCGAGGGTATGTTATGACTTACAACGCACAACTCACAACTCACAACCCACAACTCAAAAAAGCTCAGCTTTTTTTGGTTCAAGTTCACAGACAGACAATGGCTCCGGTCAATACACTCTTTCGAGTGCAACGGCTTCCCCCCCCCCCCCCCCCCCCCCCCCCCCCCCACAAAGATATTCCTGCGTTGATCTTTTGAAATCCAGCAGCTGTTCCGTGAGTAAATTTTTAATTTTCTCTCAACTGATATTGGCCGACACTTGGGACTGAGAGAGAAAGTAAATGCTAACATAGTTATAGCTTTCGTTTCTTTGTTTGTTTGCACGTGCGCCTGTTTCTGTCCTTGTGTGTGTGTGTGTGTGTGTGTGTGTGTGTGTGTGTGTGTGTGTGTGTGTGTGTGTGTGTGTGTGCGCGTGTGTGGGTGTGTGGGCGTGTGGGCGCTGTTGTGTGCACACCAGTGTTTCTGAGCTCAATGTTGTTGCATATTTCCTGATTACCCCTGAAAGGCTGAGATGATGTGAAATCCCCCTTTTTTTTTTTTTTCGTGGCGGGAGCTCCTTCGAACTCCCGCAGAAAAAATAATTCAATATATTGTGCCGTCCGATGTACCACAGACCAGATATTGAGCTGATCAGTAGATACTAGCAACCAGTAGGAAGACTACAAATAGTACAAAATGATGTGAAATCCTGAATTGGATTAAATCATTTAACGTTTCAAAACATGAGTTCTTGTTCACACTCCTCTCCAACCTGGAGTTTTTTTTTTTTCTTTTTTTTTCTTTTCCGGTCGAAGTGAAATGCTGTGCTACAGTGGACCTTTTTTTTTTTTTTTTTTTTTTTTTGGTCTAGTCTGTGTCTCCATTTAAAGCATGCAACCACAATGTGATGAGCCCGTTTACAGCGTACTCACACTAGCACGTTCCCAAATGTATCTGACTGCGATTCCGGCCAGACATGGATGAATCTGACTGCAATCACGTCCAGAGGTTAGAAGCTTAGAAGAAAAAGCCCTTAGCTACAGTTTAAGAGAGAACATGGAGCGGCGATGTCGCTGTTCCTGTCATCTCTGTTGCCTTCGCCATGAGATGAGTCCTACCTTCTACACCCGAATACAGCATACAGTCATTCTAGCCGTATTTGGGGCATCTTTCAGTCTACATACGGCAATACTGACCTTTCATTGTATTCGGGTGAAGAAGGTAGTTCATGCACCATTCCCTGAAATGTAAACCCTAAAGGGCCTTAACCCTAAAACCCTGCTGAACATCTAAGGTAATTCTAACCATGTGATGAATCTCGCTCTTTTCTCTTTATGGATGAACGAAAAATTTTGGGTGTGTCGTTTATTATGTGCCGCCAACTTGCCAGAACTTCCACTCTACCATAGGTGCGTTGCACTTTCCCACTTTCCCATGTGATGCATCAGTACCTGCAATTCATCCTTCTTACCCCCACTCCGTCATCGGTCTCCTGTTTTCATTTGCTCATTTCGTCTGCATCTCTGTCGCAGAGAGCTCATGCTCTCTCTACCTGCCTTCTCTGCACACAGTCCACTAGGATTGGAGGATGTTACCATGCCTGTTACCATCGTGCCTGTTACCATGCCTGTTACCATGCCTGTTACCATCATGCCTGTTACCATGCCTGTTACCATGCCTGTTACCATGCCTGTTACCATGCCTGTTACCATGCCTGTTACCATCGTGCCTGTTAGCATGCCTGCTACCATGCCTGTTACCATGCTTGTGACCATGCCTGTTACCTTGCCTGTTACCACGCCTGTTACTCTGCCTGTGACCATGCCTGTTGCCACCATGCCTGTGACCATGCCTGTTACCATCCTGCCTGTGACCATGCCTGTTACCATCCTGCCTGTGACCATGCCTCTTGCCATGTCTGTGACCATGCCTGTTACCATGTCTGTGACCATTCCTGTGACCATCACGCCTGTTACCATGCCTGCACTACCATCATGTCTGTTACCGTGCCTTTTACTATGCCTGTTACAATGCCTGTTACAATGCTTGTTACCATGCTTGTTACCATGCCTGTGACCACGCCTGTGACCATGCCTGTTACTATGCCTGTTACCATGACTGTTACCAGGCCTGTGACCACGCCTGTGACCATGCCTGTTTCCATCATGCCTGTTTCTGTCATGCCTGTTTCTGTCATGCCTGTTACCATGCCTTGTTACCTTGCCCTGTTACCATGGTTGTTCCCGTGCTTGTTACCATGTCTGTTACCATCATGCCTGTTACCGTCGTGCCTGTTACCATCATGCCTGCTACCATGCCTGTTACCTCTGGGCTTGGAGGATGTTACCATGCCTGTTACCATCATGCCTGTTGCCATGCTTGTTACCTTTCCTGTCACATCCCTGTTACCATCATGCCTGTCACATCCCTGTTACCATCATGCCTGTTGCCATGCTTTTTACCATCCCTGTTGCCATGCTTTTTACTGTGCCTGTTACCATGCCTGTCACATCCCTGTTACCATCATGTCTGTTGCCATGCTTTTTACCGTGCTCTTTGCCATGCTTTTTACCATGCTTGTTGCCGTGCTTGTTACCATGCCTGTTACCATGCCTGTCACATCCCTTTTACCATGCCTGTCACCCTGCTTGCTCTTGTGTCTGTTAGCTTGCCCATTACACACATGCAATGCCAGTTACCATGCCTGTTACCTTCCCCGTTACTCGCCTCCCATACCTGTTTCCATGTCTGCTGCCATCCCTGTTACCATCCCACTTACCTTGCCTGTTTTGCGATCCCTATTTTGATGACTTATTGAGTGCTCCTGTCAACCATGATTGGCCATTGATATGGTTGATCACTGCCTCAACATCCCTGTTGCCCCCAGATGTTCTCTGTTCTGCTCATACTGGAGCGCACCGCTTATGGTTTTTCTTGATCCCACTCCGACTGCTTCGCAGTGGAGAACTATGCTTTCAATGCGCTGCAGTCCTGCCAGCTCTATTTCTCGCCGACGTCTTCCCCTGAACACAACAGGCTATTTTTCCCCGGGTGAGCACACCACACCACTTTTTCCCGTCGGTGTGTTGTGTGCAGGGGAAGGCGGTAGTTTCCCATATGTACACAAGCTAAGCGTACATCCTTTTTCTTTTGTTCGAAAACGTTCAACCTTGTATTCATTGCTGAAAACCAGGTTCAGCATCCCTTACAAGAGTTACCCACCCAACGCTTCTCTCGGCCATGGCCGCCGCGAGATCCTGAGACTTCGGCATCGATTACTTCCTATTTGGAAGGAGTTACCACGATCATCGATCAAGACTTGACTCAGATACTTCATGACGCCAACCCTGCCAGTCGTATAATACATCTTGGGCCGCACTTTGCTGCTACCTTGATAGTGGCAATTACATGCTAGCTAGCCAGCCAGATAAGCGTGAAGATCTCGAGTTGTTGCCTTTGCAGATGTTAGCCTTCCTGCTGAATGCTGTGTGCTTTCCGCTCCTCTTCTTTTACCATTCGCCTGCCTCAAATGATTAAACCACCGCTCCATTTCACTGATACCCTGTTCTGACACCCCGGTTAACACGCCGCAAAATCGCATTTCGGGCCTACCGGAGGGAAAAGTCTGCCACAGCCTGGCAAGATCGTGCCCGGGATGGTTCGTTTTTTTCAGGGTAGGGCAGGGCAGGGCAGCACAGCGCGTCAGAAAAAAAAGGAGGCTCAGACAGACTGGTTGTTTAAGCTTGAAGATCTCCTTGTTGCTTTTACAGATGTTAGCCTTTCTGCTGAATGCACTATGTTTTCCCTCTTCTTTTGCTGTTCTCCTGCCTCAAATGATTACCCTCTATTACCCTCGATTTGTGTGTGTTCTTCCACTGTAGATATTCTCTGTTACTGTCTCCATGTTATCATGCCTTTTACCATGCCTGTTACCATGCCTCCTACCATGCCTGTGGCCATGCCATGCCTGTTACCATGCCTGTTACCAT